TTTTTTTTTTTCATATTTTTCATTTAGATCTATGTAATTCACTACATTTTGCTTTCTCAGTGAACCTAATTTCTTTGTCTTTTTTGTTTCATCATTGATTTTGTAACTGATTTCAAGAGCTAATTCCTTGCAACACCTGAATGTTGGGGGTACATTTATCACAGATGAATCATTACAGGGCATTGCACACTGCTGTCCACTTCTAAAGGCAAGTTCTCTGTAAATGCACCTCTTTTGCTGAAATAGTATTCTTTCTCGCCTTTACACTTTGATTCTTAAATAAGCCAAAATTTCAAGTATTTTCCTTTATATTAAACGTAAATGCTGCTGCTCTCTCACCAGAAGTATTGCCCTTTGGAGCTACCGTCATGTTAATGACAAAGGGCTTCTTATTTCTGTGAGTAAATGTTGCAAACTTGAGTCAATCAAGCTACGGAGAACAAGATTTCCTCTAAAAGACTTGCATATACCTTTATCAAATAGCCAGAGCTCTGTGTCTGCACATGGGGCATGTGTTCTTCCTCATAAGCCATTGTTTAATGCACTCGAAGTGATAATCATGTCCACAATCCAGTTTCCCAAGAAGATCCCTTTCAGCATATTCATCCTAGGAAGGCAAAAACAGGAAAGAAAATGTAAAGATGAGAAGAGAAGACAGTAACAAAGAAGGTAAAAAAGATAATAAAGCAGAAAAGGGTTAAGAAATTAATGTCCACAGTCAACATCTCTATCCACATTAACAAAGAATTCAGTTGCCATTACCTGGCAGATACTGCATGCCCTGCGTTCCTCTGTTCCGGTAGGATGATAGGTTTGCCGACTCAGACGTACCATAATTGTTTCCTCAGTTAATCCATTGTCAACGACTTGGATTTGCTCTACCTCATTTGCAATGATTTCGAATTGCTCTCCCAGGGCAATTAGCTCCTAAACAAAAATATTGTTATTTATGATCAAATGTTACTAAACAAATGACGAACTCTATGCTAAGTCATATTTTTCTCTAGCCTACATTTAGAAATTAGTACTCTTCACATTCATAACATCTAAGTAAATACAAATTAATTGCCTTTAATTTTTCTAATTCTATCTCATAAGTCATATAATTAACATTAAGAAGCATATCTTGGTAAACATATTAGGGTATACCAGGAAACATTGATGAAGTACTAAAAATATTAACAATGATAAAATTCTAAAACTGCCATTGGTTCAGAAGAAAAATTAGATTTGATACAACATGTACTTTTAGGCAGGAGAAATTACTAGCTAAACTTTGTTTACAAAAACATTTGTTTATGTGTTATTCAACAGTTTCAGGCAAGAAAACTACCCATCTATAGTTTGTCTGCCTACTGCCACAAATTAGTATAATATTCTTTACTATGAGAATGAAAACTTCAATAAGAAGAATAATTCACGGGGTTTTAAAAAATTAAGAATGTGAGTACAAACACATGAATTAATCCAGTTTAGACCTTACCCGAAAATGTTCGCTACCCACCCTTCTGAAATTGTCCAAGGCTTCACGAACCTATTATGGCAAAAATAGAGAGATTAAAGTCTCTGATTAAAGATGGTTTAGGGACTGATAATATCATCAAATAAAATAGGATCTGGAAGAGGGAATAATAATGTATATTTGTATAACCAGCTAGGATTCCTCAAAAAATTTCCCATTTGTAATCAAAATATACTAAATCTTGCCTTTTCCCTCAATAACATTGTACTTAAAAGAAGTCACAACAACTGTATGCTTAAAGGTCAGAAAATGTCTTTGAGCTTATCTATAAGACCACTGGAAAATTAGTTTTAAAGTCCTAGTAGTAGTATATGGAAAACTAATGGCAAGTTAAAGAAGTCATTACCTATAAAAACTAATTGTCCAAAACTACCTATTCATAATCAAGTAGATTATTCCCATTAGTTGTCACAAATCAGTATTTATTGTATCACAAATTTTGGAATTTATACGAAAACATTGTCCAACACAGAATTTATTTCTCTTTTAAGTTGCTGCATCACAATGTTTGAGGAACAAAGCTTGTTTAGAAGAATTACTTTAGATGACAATTAGATGACAATGTAACTGCTCCGATCACATAGTGCAGACAGTGTATGGTGGAGACACCAACACAAAGCAGGTTAGGGAAAATGTATATTATTGGACAAAGGCTTCAACTTCTCATGCTTGGAAATTATACCTTGAAATTGTCATTTTATTCTAAAATTATTTGAAATTAATTAGTATATATTTGGTAATGGCACCGACCAGGCAAATAGTCGAATATACTTAGCATTAGCATCAACTATACGAATATTCGGATATACTTGGTATATACTCCAAGAGTATAAGGAAGGCAATTTGAAAAAAGATGAGGTTTTCTCCTATAAATTATTATGTTCTTAAGGTCCTAACATGTGTGGTTACTCAATGGTTATTCTACTTACTTTACCAGAGTTTCATCGCTTTGATACTCCTTTTCCCTTTCCCAAAGTCCCCAATTAGTCTTCGTTGCCTTTGGATTTCACAAGAAGCTTTAAATTCATTTGAAGAAGATTAATTAGGTAAGATTCTCTATAGTTTCATTCTTTCCCATTTCTTTATCCTTCTTTCTTCATTAGGCTTCTTTTGGGTTTTTGGTACTAGGTTGCATTTTTAATTTAGACGCAATTTTCTATCTTAAAACAAGCTACCACAAACCAGAAAATTTTCTTTCTTGTGTGGTAAGGTAGGTTCACCCAAATCATTTCATTTTCTATGAAAAATATATAAAACATAAGGTTCTTTTTGGTAGATGCTCTTATGTTGGCTCTTAGTAGTTCTAGAATAATTTTAGATTTGTTGGCTTTTTGAAAATATATTTTGATAGTAATTTCTTAGAAGTCAATTTATTAACAAAATAATAAAGTTAGAGAGATGAATGTCTAATAAGCATACCTCATTTATTAATCTTCTTCTCCTTTCAGCAGTAGTTGGAGATCGAATGCGAGGGGAAGGTCCTCTAGTACGTCGTCTTGCAACTCTTTGACCTGCGTGAGAAGAGTTGGCATGACCAGGTCTGACATTGGAAACTCTCCCCATTTGATTCGCAGTGGCATGTAAATCATGCATTTGGTGGTTAAGTCTTGACTCTGAACCATTTACGGTGAGATTTTCGATTCTGTTTGGGTTGGCCCAATGTGTCTGGGGAAACCTTGAAGACAAAGGTGCATGAAGATCCACTGCAATAATTTCTGTAGCGCCCTGGAATGTTAACGGAAGCTCAGAGAACTGATGGAATCCTGAGTTTGTGCTTCCTTCGAGCCTCTGAGAGGTTGGGCCCTGATGAATTGCTAGAGAAAGCAATCGTTCTTGGGTCAATAGATCTATAAAATCCACTTGGCCAGTTTCTTGATTTAAACCAGGTTGTCCGAGTGGGTCCTCTTGTGGATCAGGTGCTTCCATCAACTGAATCAAGTTTAGACTTCTTGGACCAGATCCACTGTCGAAGTAATAGTAATTGTCCCGAAAGGGATCAGAATTGCTTCCCTCTCCCTGCATTTTTTCCAAGAACCTGAAACAATGAACTGTATTAGTACTAATGACACTTGTCTTTTGGAGTGATAAAGATTTATAATAACAAAGATACATTCTCCAATTTCATTAATATCTCTTCTTTGCTCAATTTTCAACTTAAAAGCATTTTCTAACATGCTATCTACAATTTTCTTCAATCCCAGCTGAACTCTCTAATTCAGCCTAGACACTCTTAATCTTTTACATCATTCCTCGTGCATTCACATTTACCCCAAGCTGTATGTGAACAAGTAATCTCTTCATGTATAAAAGAATTTAAAACAAGGCGATTCACATACATTTTGTCACTAGTATCAAAGGCAAACAAAGTTTAGGAAAATATGACATAAAAGAATGTTAAAGAACATGTGATAGGTCTACAAACGCGATTGATATCAGGTAACAAAGATAGGAAGAAAATATTAAGCAAACTGAAGTAACTAATAATATACAGACACCTTGATCTCAAAGAAAAAATCTCTAAGCTGTCATCATAAGAAATAAGATTATAGACAGCGAAATGAAACTATGTAAAATAAAGCCAATAGAAAGATCATGTAAACAAATCAAGCAGCCCTCCACCCACAATCTTGTAACTGGTTATCAAAACCCCTAATGATTTTAAGAGAATAATATTGTGAAAAATGATACATATTGCTCAAAGTAAGAAAGAAAGATCATTAGACTAGATTGGAGACTATGTCAAATGATCAACAAGTGTATGAAACAACTAGTTTGAAGAAAGAAAAGAAAATGAAAGAATGAACACCTTTGGCCCATAATCGAGTAAATATGTCTTAAAACTGAAAAGGGGAAACTAGAATCAACTAAAGTGTGTTATAGCTTTAGGATATAGATGTGGCAAGCTTCTTGTTAGTATTCAAGATCCAGCCCCAAGCACAAATCCATTTGCCAACATGATCAAAATGCTTGTGCAAACATCCGTAATTCTCTATTCATTTAGTTGCAAGTATTACTATTTAATAAAACATATGGTATCTGAAGAGATTTGAAAATTGGAAGAAGTAGGCTAGAGATGGGAATTTTCTCATAGAATGCAGCTTTTTGATTTTGATTTAAAAAAAAAAAAAAACATTACATACTAGGCTAGACACACAAAAAGAGAATCCTTTTGAAATAAAAGGGAAAAATAGTAGAATTCCTCTTGTTGATGTTTTAAAAATTCCAGTCCTAAATTGCAAAAGACAAAGCAAAACTCAAAACCCCTCTTATAGTTTATTAGACTATCCTTAGATTATAAAATATTATAATTTTTTTTTTAAAAGTTGATTGAAAACTTGTAAAGTTATCTAGCGAACAAAACTTATAGAATAGGTTAAATATCAAATGGAATTATATCAAAATGGGAAAAAGATCATCTTAAGATTGCTAACAGTGATCTAATCTTGAGACACAAATACCAATCCATTTTCAAGTAAAGTGGTTTATATAGAGATGTGATACGTATTTTATAATAAGTAGAGGAAAGTGAGGGGAAGGGGTTGAAAAGAGACCAAGGATATGCCTCAAACCATAAAATATATATATATATTTATATCAAGATTTTGAGATGAATTAAGATAAATAACATGAAACAAAAGATCAAAAACCTCCACCTCTCTCTCACAATGATTAGTCATGGAGCCCAGTGTTAAGTCATAAATAATTGGAGATTTTTAACCTCATCATGGACTTAGCCCCAGTCATGGAGACTTAGCCCCAGTGGCAAGCCATAAATAACTAGAGATTTTTAGCCAAAAGATTTCACAAAATTTAAAAATGATCTTTTGTCACATCAAAAGACTTCATTTGACTAAAATTTAATGTCTATTGAGTAAAAATGAGGCCAAGGGAGAGTCATAAACAATTGGGAATTCTCAAATAATAAATTTTATGGAATTAAAAATGATTTCTTATAATATCTAAAGACTTCATTCGAGTAAGATTCAATTATATATTGAGTAAAATTCACACAAGAAGACAATATGAATCAGTTATATAAAACAAAAAGGGATAAAAGAGATCATATTAAAAACAAACGGCGGGAAAAAAATCCTAAACAACAAATTCAATTGTTATTGAGCCTCAAACCATACAAATCCAAACAACAAAGTCCTAGATGGTGAAATCAACCCCATCTTAATTAGGACACACACTATCTAGAATCAACCCGCTAATCTCACATAGAAATAGATAAAACAATGGCAAAGAAAAGGGTCTAAGGACCATACCTCAAAAAAAGAAAATGATTGAGAAAGGAATTGAATTGAACAAGAAACTAAAGAGGCAATGGCTAGAGAGCAAGACACACTTTGAAAATTATCTGAGCTTGTGTGAAACATGACACCATAGAAGGTGCAATTTATAGGGTAAATGTGTGGGGCAGAGTTAAAGAATCCTTGTGGGTTTCTAAGGGAAGTTTCCATTGACGGAATTGAATCATTGTTACATTTTTGTATGAATAGGCAAGTATGGTAGTATTGTGTCATGGTGAGCTTCTGACCAATTGGATGCCCTACGCTAGAACACCCTCCCCTGACTAAGCCCCATTTCAACCTTCTCCTTTTTCCCTCATCACCAAAACCTCTTCCTTTGATGGTTTCGCCGCTAAATATTTCGATTTGTATGGAAAGGAAACACTGTCGTCTCTATGAGCATCCTTTTCTTTCTTTGCCTTTCAGTGCTTTTTCCCTTCTCTGCCACTCTTTTTTCCCTCCCAATTCCCTAACTTGTTCTTATTCCGTAGCCTTTAAACTCTATTTAACTAAAACTTTTTTAAAAAAAAAATTTTTAAATTGAATTTTTTATATAATTTTTTAAATCTTATTTACCTCTAATTTTATTGATTTTCCGTTGCCTTTTTCTTTTTTACTAATTTCTTTGTGTAAATATCTATACGCACATTCTTATATATTTTTTCTAAACTAAAAGGAAAATAAAGTTTGTCTTCTTTTTTTTTCAATAATTTTTTTGTTTATATTAAAATATATATATATATATATATATATATAAATGGGCAACTGGTAGCAAGAGTCATGATGCTTATCTCGTTCAACTTTATAAAATTTAGTTTTTAATTTAGGATATTTAAGTTTAGTTGTCAATTTATCTTTTTTAGAATGTCATTTAATGCATTTATATTTATTTTACCCTTATTTTTTAAAAATAATTTCAATGTATACTCCCTCCAGCTAGATTTAGTTATCTTAATTTAATTTTTATATAGAGTTTTGACATGATGATATTATATAATAAATGAATGATAAATGAAATTTTTTTTATCTAAGAAAAAATACTCAACAAGTACCATGTATAGAAAGAAAAAAAAATGTTAATTGTCATCTATTTACTATATAAATCATCTAGTCAAACTTTACATAAAATCAAATTGTGACAACTAAATCCTATTGGAGGGAGTATTAAATAAGATGTCTTATTTAAGTGATATTTAATTAAAGATAAATATAAAATTTTGTCAATAAATTATTGTTTCATTATTTTATTAGACAAGAAAAACTAGATATATTAAAGTTGAAGAAAGAGAGTAAGTTTCTATTAGTCATTATAATCATTTTTCATTCAATTGATTTGTTTGTATTTATCTATTATTTTCATAGGTTGGTCTAATTAATATACAATGATTAAACACTAACTAATAATATTCAGTTAATCATAATAAACAATGATAGTGTTTCTTTTTTTTCGTAAATCTTTTCATTCAAACTCATTATTTTAGTTAATCATCATAACGGGTATTTCAGTTGATCGACTTATTGTGTATAGATATATTATTTTTTATTGCAATTAAATTGTTATAAATTAATTTGTTATTTTAATTAGTTGTTATAACAGTGTTTCACCTGCTTATTGTATATCAATAATTTAAATAATTAAGTAGTAATTTTTTTAAAAAATAACAAATTTTAAATTCAAATCATATGATATGAAAGCGATGAGGATTAAAAAATAAAAAAGAATTGCATTTTACTGTATAATTTAAAATAAAAAAATTATTATATATAATCGTAATGATTGTGCTTGTTGTTAAATTGTTATAATTTAGTTCATTATTTCAGTTACTCATTTATAATTATATCCCAGCTGATTATACTAAATGTGTTTAGTAATTATTTTAGCTATCGCTATAAACTAATTAATTTTTTTGAGGAAAATAATTAATATACAATTTAGTTTGACATACTTTTAACATCTATTACATTGATTTCTTTTATGTTCCCTATTGTATATTGATCTCAACTGACTAACAAAAGTGCACTAAGTTTCATTATCAATGATTTAATTCTTCTATCCTTTCACAGTTCACTTAAATTAACAACTAAAAACAAATCTTTCATTTAGGTGGTAGGACATCAAATATTACCATCACTTTTTTTCTTTCTTCGCTGTACATCACATTGTGTTTCTTACGTTTGTTTGGCCAAGCTTTTTTTTTTCCCCCAACAGCACATGGTGCAAGTTTGATACACGCAAAAGCCGAGCATCGTTCGAAATTACTCAAAGTTTTCAAGGTAAAAATAGGATATAAAGAGTCGAAGATCTACCAACAATTTAAATAACTCAATAGTAATATTTTTTCATTAGAAATAAAAGTTTTTGAGTTCGAGTAACATAGTACATGGGTGAAGGTGAGATAAGGAATGAGAGAAAATTATCTCTCGTTGTACAATCAACATAAAAAAAAAAAAAAGTCAAAGATCCATGAATGATATTTATTAGCCATTAACAACAACAAAATTTGTTAATATTCATTCTAATTGAAGCTTTTTTTCAACATTTATGATTGCAAAAACCAATCTGATTTTTATTATTAAATTAGGTAATTATTATTTTGTCTTTTTTCTCTATTTATTAGTATTGTAAAAGCCATTCTTTAAAAAAAAAAAAATAGCAATTATGCTTCGTTCTTTTTTGTAAAACCAATTCTATTTTTTTTCTTAAGCTACCCATCATACTGTTTTTCCTTCATTTATTGTTGTAAAAAAATATTACATTTTCTTAAATTAGCTCTTATTCTCTCTCTTTTTTTTTTAATTCATTTGCTCTAGTAAAACCCAATCTGACTTTTTCCTTATTAAAAATTAGCAATTACTCCTTTTTT